TGTCACCAAACGTGGTCTCAGTGTTTCATTCTTGCGGGTTCACGACCAAACACTAGACAATGTGTAAATAAGGACTTTGAGGAACCTAATTCGTCTTCTTTTTATTCTTTACAACCCATATGTCCTTGGAACACTAACAGCTAATTATTCATGCATGCTAAGAACAAGAAAGGATAGCAGCCAAAAATCCATGCCCTCCATTGCCAAGGAAATTTACTATACATCATACGAAGGATAACCAAACTTTTCATATGAAAATCTTCATATATTTCAACTTTTTCTTTCACAGGGATTCTCGAAAAGCATCCAATCTTATCAAACAGTATTTCTTCACACGGTCAGGCAACTAAACTAGACATAGAGCCAAAGCAAAATTTACAAACTCCAGCTAATGAGAGCATCTGCGAAATACAAAACTCTCCTAACCCAACCAAAAACAGAAACCCCAGAAACACTTGGTTCTTTGATTTAACTCAGATTCACATAAATGATAACTATCAGTATTGGAAACTTAACAACTTTACCACCATCGAGTTCTTAAAAATTGATATATGACAAATTAAAACTTCCAGTTGTTGCTTCGCACGGAATCAACAACCACATGATGTGCCTGCATTGCAAGACATTGTGGAACACATGTCCGCTCTTCTTCCTCATATCATAAACAAAAGCATCAATTTCCATTTCCCATATTGTTCAAAGGCACATAATATTCCTCCTACAATTGAGAAGAAAAAAACATAAGGCAAAATGAATTCATTCTCTTAACTAAAATAGCCAAATAAAGCAGTAAAAAATCATATCCTTTATAAAAAGCAATAAAATAAATGTAAAGACGTCAGTGTCACATCATGTTTTAACCAAATACAAGATATTATAAAAGATGAATGGATCATTTTTCTAAAGCACATAGCAATGAGGTGCATCAATAAGCATTCTAAAGAAACACATAATATAGTGCTACCCGAACACTTTTAAGTAACATTTCAAAAAATGGCTTCAAAAAACATCTTTAAACAGGTTCTTGATAGGCATTGGCATTACCACTGTAATAGACAGAATACTAGGAAGAACTAAGAAATTTATATATGACGTGTCTATTTGAAAACTATTTTAAATCAGTCCATAGTATGTCAGAAAAGTCTGCTTGAGATGACTAAATGCTGCATCTTATTAGCATCTTGAAGAAATCCAGAGCTTATAGCTGGGGAAAATCTAAACTATCTTTTCCCGAAACTCAAACTGTCAAACAGACAACTGCAAAATGCCTTAGAATTTACATTGACATGTTGACAACTACCACCAGCCTATAGATAGTAATGCCTAAGCCATCTCTTCTTAACTTCAGATTGTCTCATTGGATAATCTAAGTCCTGCTTACCTTCACGGAAAAGACAAAAATAAAAGGCAGTTTGGCATTGCAAGCATCAAATCCTTCCCAAGCATACAAGAATTAAAAGATTAGTTCATGTATATAGCTAAAAAACTTTAGGCTATATCCATATAGCATTGCATAAGTGATGGACAGTCTCTAGTCTTGCTTTAGAGTTTTAAATTGTTACTATTACATTTTCATAGGAAGGGGGAGATTTATTGGAGGTATGAACTCTAAAAACAGCTGCACATTCTAATTTATTTTTCTTTCCTCTTGAGGGAAAATTAGATTTCTCTGAGTCACTGTCAATCAAATGATTTACTGTACATATACTGAAGTTTTGCTATACACAACTTTACTCAAATTCATGTTTCCTAGAATTACTACATCTTCACCTAGAGACAAAAAAAAACATGTAATTCTGTATTGTATTTGGCATAAGAGCAGTTTGGTGGCTTAAATGGACTACGCGTATTGATAGAGAGAGAGAGAGAGAGAGAGAGAGAGAGAAAGCGGGAGTTACTTGAGGATTGACGTAGTTCAATGATCCCTGATGAACAAACTGCTGTATTCATTCATCACCAGCAATAAACGAGAATGGGGTCAGGTCATAATCCAAAGTTAAAGCTATTTTAATGGAATTTAAAAAAAAAACAACTCTAAAGCCAATCAGACCTGTGAACTTGGGCCAGGCATGGCTCCAACAGCATTCCCTTTAGAAGATCCATCTCCACCCCTAGCAGATCCCTTTGCATCACCCTGTTCAAAGTTTGGCAAGAAAGTTATTTCTAACCATCCCGAAGAGATATGAACGAATAGACTAAACAATTCAAATGTAGTTCAATCAAATATAAAAAAGATATTAAACAGAACTAAAGAACGTTTAGTTACCTCCAACTGTGACAATGCAATGATCCCATAAATCAAACCAAGGACCAAAACAAACAAAAAGAAAGAGAATTGTTAGACTGAACTGATAAGGAGTAAACCCATTGCATGAATTGAAAGCAAGACGGAAAAAACCTCATTCAATTGAGGCTCCTCCATTATAAAATCTACAATAGAACCCAAATAAATGCCACAGCCAAAAATTAACATCTAAAATCAACATGAACACTACAACAGAAAGAGTAAAAGGCAAAAGTTGAACAATAATTACCTCCCTGTACCTAGCCAAGTAAATCCTGAGGGGCTCAATATAGTCCTCAAACCCTAACGTGGCCATCGCCCACAACAAATCATCACCGTTGATGGTCTTACGCTTCTCCTTTTGGCACTTGTCGCTGGCCCTAAACACCCAAAACCCCCAAAAGAATGAACACAAAGGCGGTGCGATTGAACAGCGAAAAACGAAAAAGCAAGAACAAAATCAATGGAGAGAAAGAAGGGGGTGAAAAAAAATACTCGCTGGTGACGAAGCTGATGAATTCGGAGACGCATTCCTGGACGGTGTCCTTGGCGTCCTTGGCGATCTTGCCATTTTGCGGCAAAGCCTTCTTCATGATGCGACTGATGTTGGCGATGGGCAGATATCTGTCCTGCTCGCGCACGCCGCTGCCGCCGCCGCCGCCTCCCTGAGGACTCTGCTCGCCGCCGCTTTCATGGCTCCCGCCTGCCGGGCTCGTCGGTGCCTCCGCCATTATCACAATCAATCACTGCATTTCATCAAACAATTCATCTTCATTCTTTTGCTCGTATAATAGAAATAAAATAGTTTTTTCATCGGAATTGAAATTGGAGCCCTAGGTCGGCCCATTAGGTTTGCCATTATTGAGCAAGCTTCGAGAAAGAGAGCGAAGGAGAGAGAGGGAGAGAGGGAGGTGGCCCTTTCGTACCTGTAGGTATGTATAGAGGGATGGAGAGAGAGAAAGAAATGGTGTGTTTGTATTTGGCGCGCTCGGAGAGGAGATCTGACGATGGAGAGAGATGGAATGAAGAAGGTTTTGGCTTTATGCTTATCATTTATCAACACCGTTCGTTGTGGTTTTGTTTGCTTCTTTTTACAGAATTACAGGGACGCGGGCCTCTTGATCTTGGGCTTCATACAACATAAGAGGCCCAAAAACGCTTTGAGCCTTTGAATCATTAATCAAAAACTCAAGTTTAAAAAAGGGTTTCGCAATTTTCAACACGATTCGATTTTTATTACGAACACGACTCACTATCATGGATAATAAAGGGTCGGATTAAGGGATTTATAGTTCAAGTTGTTAAGAACATTTACTCATACACCAGAAGTCTTGTGTTCGAGTGTCCCTCTCTTAATGTCACTTGTATATAAAATAAATAAATAAATAAGTCGGGATTACTATTAAATTCTAATAATTTAATTTTGACATGATTGAAAGTTTAACTAGGTATTAAGCAAAGAAAGTGACCAATTGAGTGTTATTTGGATTGGCATGCTTCTAAGTGGTCTTGGATTCAAACTCCCATATTACTTGTGTGTGAGAGTTTTCCTTTATTCTCTTTCTAACATTGGCGTTAAAAAAAAAAAGTTACTATTTTTTAATATGAATCTTTATAAAATAATAGGTTTGTTATTTATGATTTTGCTATATTAGGATAAAGTGAATTTTATTTTTATTTTATTTTATGATAGGTATATAAATGAAAGATTTTAATTTGAAAATGAGGGCAACATGACACGACTCGGTTGCCACCTCCAACGACACAATGACTAGGCATTATTGACATATAAAGCACTAACATAATTTATGGTGGGTCTCAACTTCAAGGTTAGGTTAAGCTGGCGTATACAAATATGGTCATCCTTATCCATTCAAATTGAACAATGGTGGTTGTGACGAATTATTATTATGATCTATGTGCCTAAGTTGCACTTTTGCACTCATTGTTCACAAACAAGACATGTTAATTTGTGTAGGTAATGATAATTTTTTTTATTGGACTGAAATTATGGATGTATAACAGCCAAGCTCAAATATTGTTTCACTTAAATGTCAACCGAGTCCTTGATCGGGCCACATCGTTTCAATTTTATATAAACTATTCATCTTAAGTTGAATCCTTTAACCAGCCTGCTAATCAGTCTTACCATGTTGAAAAACTAAGCTAATCTTTTTTTGGTCAAATCTCTAAGCTAATCTTATCACTCATTATATTATCATCAAACAAAACCCACCCGATCAAGGAAAAATGAATTTATAAAATGCCAAGGTCCAAATTAATAAATGAAACAAAATGGAAAAAAGAAAAATTAGACATTTGTTAGGCCACAAATCACTAATTAGCTACTTCATTTGGGAAGATGCTTGTTTGGCTGACAAACATGTATTATTCCAACTGAAAACTTAAGTACAAGAATGCATTCAAGCTCTTTACACTGTGGGGGTTCACAAACAATCAATGCTCCTTCAACTTCCTTGGATTCTTCAGGTTCACGTCTTAATCAGAATGCCCTAGGATGCCTAGGGGTGCCCTAGAGAAAGCAAAAGTTGTTACTTGGTACCTAACAATTAAGGGTGCCATCAAGCTGCATTTCCTGCACAGCTTAATTCTTCTAATAAATTCAGGAGAAAAATGTTTGAGCAAAATCATAGCCTGGTTGGAGAATATATATGGTTTTCGTGGAGAATTATAAACTAAATATTAACAAAAAACATGTTTCTGCAATAATCAACTAAAGAAATCCAAGGGTCCAAAACAACAGCGCATATTACCTTGAACAAAACCATATATGATGATAGAGGGTACAATTACAAGAATTATTTTGCATAATATGTGTAAATTGTAACCAAAGAGATCAAACTAATTTCTATGTATGATAAGAGGCTTAATAATCATATAAGAACCTAGGATGGTTTACATACGAAACAGAGTACATCCATTTATTTTATGATCCTTGGTTTGCTTGAACTGGAGCAACAGAATCATAGAGAGCTTAATGGCCAAATCACATAAAGTCCAGCTTGGTTGCATGTCCCAGTATCGGATGGAGGCACAAGATGATAGACACAAGTATTAACATCCTATGCAAGAAAGAAGATACCTCCACCTTTTATATAAACTAACTGAGAAAGTACCCTTCTGAAGCTGCTTTCTCCATGACCTCTTTCTGCTCAAAAGAAGTTAAATAAAAGTCAACTCTTCCAACGTTCATTATCAGATTTATGGGTAATTGACTAATTTACTCTTGTTTCATCATGAATGCAACAATTTTGACACATTTGGTGCAAGAGAAGAATATATATAGATTTACCTGGATTATTGTAGTGATCATCCCAGGACCCTCCTGGTTATAATTGCAAAACAAATAAATAGTGAAGAAAAAAACAAAGAAAATGTGCAGAACAGTTGCAGCATCTTAAAACTCTAGATACACACACCTCAAAATGTTTGTCTTTCCATGAGATCTCCTCCCAAGATTTAGAATTTAGTGATTCCCATGAACTTGGAAAACTAAATGTCTCCGCGTGCTGCAAAAGTCTCAAGCTACCTGCAATGTAAATCTCTTTAAATCTTATGATAAAATATTCTAAGAATCTAGGAAAGTGTTTCCTCTGCCCAAATTTAAAGTAGGAAGAGATAAGTAGAGGCTTACTTGTAATGAACGCCTCTGCCCAAAATTCACTCTCTGACCATGATGGTGCAACTTCTCGAAAGGGGATTCCCTTGCTCAAGCATACTCTACATAAATTACAAGAAGAAGCACAATCAATTGATCACCTACCAAATTGGGAATCACTTAATATAAAGTGACCCGAGTGCATTCAAATACAATATGTATCTTGGACCAGAATTTCCAAGTTAATACTTCCTCCATAGTTGACGGAAAGGAAATGTATATTGATACGTTCAATCTCATCCCAACATAGCCCCCAGCCCTCTCCATGGTCACTCATAAGAGCTCAATAACCCTACGGAGAAAACCTTGCAAAACAGTTTATTTAACTTTTTCAAACATTCAACAGAACCAATGGACACTAGAAAAGGCTAATCAGAACTTCCCTTTTTAAACCACATACACCATTCAACACAAACTGTGGATACTAAAGAAGCCAAATAAGACTTTCCTGTACAAAGAAATAACCAGACACCAGACAACACAAACTGTGGCGATGGCACTAATCTACATAGTAAATATATTTGAAAAAAATACAGTCGGGGGTTCAATAGTAGGAGGGGGGACTTACTCAATGACCAATTGGCGTGTAATTCCTGGAAGGACATGATCACTAATAGGAGCTGTCTGTACTTCAAAACAGTGCATACTTTGCCCCTTAGCTTCATCGTTATCCTGAAAGCACCATTCACATTGTTTTCCAATTAAACAGCTAGGAGAGTCTAAGACATATCACTTGGTTATAAACACACTCTCCTAATCAACAAACTGACAAAGAAGTCTCACTTAAAACTGAGTTAATCTAATGTAGTTCAAAAAAATTTCAAAATCCAAAAGCCTCTAACCTTCCGGCAGACGACAAAGAAGTTTGAGACCGTCCCCTCAAGAATCCGGTCACCGTCATTAGACAACAAGAGCTCGGTCCCGTTGGGCGGCCTCAACCTCTCCAAAGACTTCCTAATCCTGCAAGTTAAGCAACCCAGCAATCAAAACTGCTGAAAATACTTAAAAGCCAAGTAAGAAAAATCCAAGCTTTAATTCATTCACACACTGATAAGTGGTCAGAGATGACCAACCTCACCCAATCCGAATACTTAGCAGAAGCATCGTCTCTCCCACGACCCACCACAGCCAAATGCGCACCGGTTCCTTCGATACCAAACACAGTTGGCACATAAGTCCCAATGTAAATACTCACATCAAAAACCCCATTGCCAAATCTTTCATGGTCCAAGCCCTCACTCTCATTCTCACTCAATTTCTCCAAATTGCCACTGACCAGAGCTGTAATTGACAGTTCCTCTCCCTCACTCCTCTCTTTCAAAGCAATCGGCAACACTCGTTTCATCGAACGGTTCACGAGCTCGCGAACCTCCGACTGGAGCAAAGGGGAGTTGGAGGAGAGCGACGGCAACGAAAGCGAAGTCGTTTTGTTGGGTCCGAACAGAAGCTGAGGATTCGAATTGTATAGAATTGCTACTGAGTCCACCAGTCTCTTCAAGTGTCGTTCCCAGAACAGCACGAACGACGCGTCTTTGTGAGTGCGAGACGTCGTGTACGCCCCTGGTGTGATCGGAGCAGCCGCGAAATTGGCTTTTTTCATAAGTGTTTTTGGAAAAATTGAATTTGATTTTCAAACAGAGAAACAGAGAGAATAGTGTACCTGGATGCGTTTCGAGGAAGCTTGTAACCGGTGGAGTGTTGGCGGACTGTGAAACGACGCCCTTGCTGAACAAGAACCTGGGGCTTAAAGTCGCCATTGATTTAGTTGCTGATGGTCGCCATTGATTTTTAATCGTTCAGGTTCTGGGTTTGCAGTAGTAAAAGTGATGAAGAGGTTGACTGCCAGTACAGTGTCGTTCATTTGCAATGAAATATAGGACAGGACGAAACTGTCGTTTTTATAACAACAAATTGTAAAGATAAAGAAATGATAATTTTTTTAATTGAAAAAATACATAAAGAAATGACATTTAACCATTAAATATGTATGAGAAATTCAAGAAAAACAAAAAATGTATGACAAACCGCATCATGCATTACTAGTTTTCAATATTGAATATGTGAAAATGGACACGCATTTTATTTGTTTTTGCTTCAATTTAACATGAATATGTTGGGATAGGTGTATTTTAGGGCAATCCTATTGTATAATTTTGTTGTTGTTTTTTCTATATCATCATTTTGGGGTGAAGCTTGTTGTTTGCTTATCGTTTGTAAGTGTATTTTAACTTCCTTACTCTTTAACAGAAAAAGTTGGGTGATGACATTCAATATCAACATTATCAACAAAATGATGCATTTTAATTTATTTAGTATCCCTATCTAAAAAACAAACATAAATTGTATTATGATATGCACACATATCCTTAATTATTCAAAAGAAAGTCTGTATATAGTTCATCAAAAGCATCAAAAACCCATGTATAGCAGAAAACCCTAATTTGTCCCAACGTGCATGGATAACTCACATGGTTACCTATTAAAGAAAAAAAATTCAATCAATAGGCCTTTTGGTAAGTGACATTTAAACGACTTGTCGTAGATTTACTTTTGACCAGATTCAGACAACAAAAGAAATATATATATATAGTAACTGTTACAAATTAAAGCCCTCTCCATTTCTGCAAATGAAGAATGGTTATCACCTTTCACAAACAAGCGTACCCCTTCACTCCCAAATTAAAGCCCTTTCCATTTCTGCAAATGAAGAATGGTCATCACCTTTCACAAACAAGTGTACCCTTTCACTCCCAAATGCTACAAATGTTCCTCCCTATAAATTCAAACCTCACTCTCCACCCAACACAATCATATCAAAACCCAAATCACTTTCTCACTCATTTCCACAGCACCACAAACAACAATGGATGCCTCATCTTCCTCCACTTTCTTTACCTCTTCCGGCGTACCCCAAGCCCCCATCTCAGTCTCCCAAGAAGAGTTCGCCCTTTTTCACAACATTGACCGCAAGCTCTTCTCTCGCCTCATCTTTCCCCTAGGCCGTGACCCGGCTGAGTCAGCCCAAGTCATGGCCCTATGGATGTGGCTCGAACACGCGGCCAAGGAGTACAACTTTGTGAACAAATTATGTGTCACTTTACCCAACACCCTTCTTAATGGCATTGCAGATGAGTCTATCATGGCCTTGAAGTGCATTCAACAAGACAACTTCCATGTCGACATCACCAACCGCAACCAAGACATTCCCCTATTCAATGCCCTAACCAAAACCTGCGCCACCCTCGAATTCTTCTACCAAAATCGCCTCGGCATCATTCGAGGCGTCACCAAGTTGTTCAATGAGGTTTGCATGAGAGCCTTTGACGACTTGTTCCCTAAACCACAACCAAACCCGGCTGAACAAATGATGTTGAATGCCGGCATGTTTCGTCCTTACAATCCATCATTTCACAATGCTGCAGTTGCCGCCTATGACATGGTCGGGGTATCGAACATGGGACCTTTTCCAAATCAAAAAATGTATGGTGGGGATGTGAATAATAATCCACCGTCTTTGGGGCCTTATCAGCATATTCATCTCTTGGCCAGGGCTGCGACGAGGGGGGATGCTGCCCTAGACTATCTGTGTGGTGTTTTTGATCCCTATGATCTTGCTGCTCAGCGCCAGATTTTGAATGAGGAGATGGGGGATGTTTTGAGTCGTTTGAATCTAAATGATGATCAGCAAGAGGCAGAGGATGTGTCTGCTGATGAAAGGACTATTTTCTTGACATTTTCTAAAGGCTATCCCATTTCTGAAGTTGAAGTCAGAGAGTTCTTCTCTAGGTTTATATAACTTTTGTTTTTGGGTATGTTAGTTCTTTTAATATAATTATAAATTCATTTTTGTTTTGTTTTGTGGACAGGAAATTTGGAGACTTTATTGATGGTGTTTTTATGCAAGAAGTGCCTGCTGAGGAGCAACCATTGTATGCCCGTCTTGTGGTTCGTTCTACTTCCTCCATTCCAATTGTTCTTGACGGGAAAAACAAGGCCAAATTCTCTATCAATGGGAAGCATGTTTGGGCAAGGAAATACGTGCGTAAATCAAAATCACCAGGAGAACCAAGTTCACCTGTAACTTCAGTTTAAGTAATTGGTTTTGGCTTTAAGAGTGTTTTGTAGTTCTATAAGAATGAAGTTGAGTGAGTCTGAGAGTTGTACGTACCCATAGTTATATAGTGTATCCTAAATGATGAATACAAGCAGTATTGTCAATTTGAAGCATTAAAAGTTTCTTTGGTTTTAAGTGCTACACGATTCAAGAATTTGCATAAAAATGTTGCACACGAATTATGAGTGAATAATGCAACTTCTTGTATTACATATAGGGAATAGTACTAATGCACCCTATTGTGATGTACATAACCATGCAAACAATATTCTCATGCGCACATGAATTATTGATCCTAACAATAGATTTTTAAATACAAGTGATTTTCAAACAAGATGCAATAATGTATCTCGAAATAATTTGTTTAATTTGTGAATCGTACAGTTTTAAAAGAACGATAGTTTATATTTATCGATGATTGACACTGGTATTTTCCATTTACATAAAATACAAACATTTGAAATTAATTTTTGTCCATGTGAAGCATTGGATATGCATTTTTCTTTTGAAGGTAAGTACAATTATTTGATATTAATATTTTTCCAATAGCAAATTTAACCCATTAAATTTAGTCAAAGGTAGAAGAGTCAAAATTACATATAAACCATACCAAAAGATAAAAGAAAAAGTTAGTTATACTCAATAAAAGGTAAAATATTAAGGATATAGTCAAGGTTCCCAATGATGGAAAACAAAAAATTTAGTTTAGAACCCCACTGAAGCGTTTCTTTTCAATCCTTTTGCGTGTAGAAATTTGCTGTTGTTTTTTACGTTGGTAAACAATTGGAGTAGTTTTATTATTATTGACCTCAAGCTGCGTGATGTGGACTTGAAGGTTAGGTTATGTGCGGCGTCTGCAGTTCAAATAGTTGAGTATAAGTACTGTAATCTTTTCTTGTACAAGGTAAAAATTTAAGTACGTGGTATGGTTGTCTTGGGCCCACGTGTGAGTTTGTCAGGGCCACTGCCCAGCCAGCTGTGACCACTTCAATTATTATTGGATTGGACCAAATTCAATAAATTTACTAAAGTTACCTCTATAAACATTATTATTTTTTTGCTGCAATTTTTATTTTTCTAATAAGGACTTGTTGTTAAGAGTTATCTATTAGATGCTAGTGGATTAAATAAAATTTACCTATTTCTCAATTTTTATTTTTCTGATTTGATTTTGCCTCACTTGGTATTAGTATCACATAAGGTATCATATTAACATGGGGATTGAGATAAAACTTTGCTAAATAAAATCATTGATAGATAATAAAGGACGCACGCACCTAATGCTCCCGAACGTCATATTAGAAAGTGACACGTAGTAAGATGAAAAGCGACAGATTTACTACGTACACGTGTCTCCAGTTGATTAGACTTTCACAATTGACCTGTGAACGTTTACCTTCCATAAAATTAAAGAAGGCTGAGCTAACCAATCACTGCAAAGTTTGAAAAGGGACAATAAAGCAATTTGTTCGGCTTCTGCGCATTTTATTTTCTTAGATCTCCAAAAGGACACTTACCCTTATACCCAAAAAATACACACGGACTCACAAACTCTCTCTCTCTCTCTCTCTCTCTCTCTCTTCTAAACCCCCAAACCTCGAAGGCTTTCACTTTCTCGAGAAGATCTGGAGGTAAACACAAAAATCACTCTCCTTAAGCTTTCAACTTTCAAAATCTGTTTGTTTCTTATATGCTATGCTTTCCCTGTTCGGTAAATTTCTCGATTGCATGCTTAGATTTGCTCAGTTTTGTCTCTAGGGTTTATCGATTTCGTGAATTTTTTCTTCTTTTAAAAAAAATAAAATGAAAAGAAGCTTTCTTTGATGATTTTGAAAAATACCCAGATAATATCTCAATGGATGAACAAAAGGAGAACGATGTTCCTGTTGGTACTGGCTCAGAGTCCACAGTGACTGCCGGTGGGCATGTAGCTGGTGAATCCCTAGCTGGGTCTGAGGCTTGTGTGAGTGAGGGTCAGGTTGAGGGGTCTTTCACTGAGGATGTGGGTGAAGATGATGGTGGTTCTTGTAATGGGGATGATATAATGGTGGAGGTTCTGGGGTCTAATGTTTATGTTGGTGGAGTTTGCACTAGTGGGGATGGGGAGAAATCAGATGATGAGGTGGGTCGGGATGAGTCGGATGAGGTTGATATGGGTTCGGAGAGAAATGCTGGGTCCTTGGGTGGAGATGGTGGTGGAGTGGGTGAACCGGATTCAGTGGAAGGTTCAATAGGTGGAGAAACCCAGGTTATTCATATTGAGGAAGCTGAGGTGGTTGCAAGGGTGGTTGTGAATTCACAGGAAGTTAATGCTTCAGATGAAAAAGAAGATGATTCTACAGCCGAAAATGGAATTGGAGGTTCCTCGGCTGGAGCTCTATGTAGTGAAACACAAGTTGTGGAGAATGAAGTTACTGTTATTGAAAGTGTAGAAGTTTCGGGGAGAGGATTGGTGGAGGTTGTGGAACAAGAAACGAAGTCGGTTGTTTGTGGGGTTGATGCACTCCATGATTTGAAGACACAGAAAGCTGGTGTTTCAGATGATGAAGTATGGAATCCTGGGATTGAAAAAGCTGCAGTGATTATCAATGAAGAAGGTTCGAATCCCAAGCCCTTGAGTGAACAAACCCAAGTTCCTGCTGCTACTGGTGATGTTGCTGGGGAGGACAGAGTAGATACTTTGACCTCCCAAGTGGCAGGCAAGGAAACTGATAAAATTGATGAAAGTTCGAGTCATTCAGTAGAAGAACAGCTAGTTAAGATTGAGCCAGTAGGTGTTAGCACCCACAGTAGCAGCAATGGACCTGCACATTCA